GGGACACCACATGCCACCCCGGCACCCCGAGAAGAGCCGGGCACCTCGGGGTGTCCCCGATGTCACAGGGGCAGGATGGTATCAGGTGAGTAGCCCACAGCCCTTCCAGCCTTCCCTACCACCCCAAACAGCTGCTAATGACCTTAATTAGTTACCTGGAGAAGCTTAGGGAGGGGACAAACCCATTCCTCATAGCCTGAGGCTCTCCTCACTGTCCCTTGGCCAGACTCCACTGTCCCCTAGGGGGATGCCCTGACCTCGTGGGGGTCCTGCAGGGGTCAAGCCTCCTTTGCCATCTGTTTGTCTGTGCCTGTGTGGGCAGAAATACCTGGGATTCCCTGGGATTGCTGGGACTCCCTGAGATTGCTGGGATTCCCTGGACTTCCAGATGTCACTGGCAGCACTGTCACCTGTCCCCAACTCTGTCCCAGGTGCCAGTGCAGACCCCACCTTTGCAGACCCCCCTTTCCCTGCAAGGAAAGCCCCCCTGCCCATCTCATCAGCCCCCCCAAACCACTCAGCTCTTCCCAACCATCCCTGGCTGGAAGGGCAGGGGACATTCCTGGTGTCCTCTCTCCACAGCTGCATCTGGGGGAGGTGACACCCCCCGGCAGCCCCAGCACAGCACCCCCAGGAGAACGTCCTGCCCCACCTGCCGGGCACCCACAGGCACCAGGGACACAGCCACACACGGTGGGTGACAAGGGTGACATGTGCCTGGCACAGCTCCTCACTGTGTGGGGACTGGTGGGACAAGGAACAACCTCAGCCCCCTGACAATGCCAGGGGACTGTGCCCACCCAATGTGGCACAGGGGGTGATGGCACTGGGGCTGCTACTCCATGTGCACCCGTGGGGACACCAAACCCCCATAGGGACATCTAACCCCCATGAGGACACTGAACCCCCATGGGGACATCTAACCCCCTTCCTCCCTCAGCAGAGCGTGGCCCTGGTGGCTCCTGTCCTCCAGGACCGCACGCTGGAGCCCAGAAGCCGGAGCAACCTGGAATTTGGTACTTGGCAGCCCCCCCTGCTGCCACCGTCTGCCTGGCACCCGTCCCCCTCGTGCCTTACGTGCCCTCCATGCTGTAAGGATGCCCTGGGGCTGGGAGGGGGCTCAGGGGGGTCAGCATCTCCCAGGGGTGAAGGGGGAATCAGGAGGGACTGTCCCCACCCTAGAGATCCACTGTGGGGTGACACTGCCACCAGCTCCTCTGGGGACAAGCTGTTTAGGGGGTGGTGCTGTGGGGTGGGCATGGAGGAGATGGGGAAGAGGGATGGAGAGAAGGTGGGGTGGTGGCACAGCCCCCATCACTGAGCCCGTGTCCCTTCTTCTTCCCAGCTACTGCTCCCCAGCAGTTCCTACCTCAGCCCCAGGCCTGGCCGGGGTCCCCCTCGCTGTCCCCGCGGG